TTACATTGAGCTCCAAATGCAAATTTCTATATTTTGGAGACCCAAAGTGAGATTCTCCTTAAAATCTATCTTTCACTTGAATAGTTTGAAAAAATTTTAATGGAAGAGAAGAGGGATGAGGTGAAGTTTCAAGTGAAGATGAAAAAAAAAAAATTGAAAGTGATAAACTTATTTTTATTTTTTAATTTACATGAAACGAAAATGAAAGGTGATAAATATGCAATAGCTAGTGACAAGGGCATAAAACCATCAATAATGAAAACATGAATAAAATGAAAGGTTTAAAGTGATTAAATTTTAAATAATAACTAAGGCACAGAAAAATGTTAAAATTTAAGAGAAATTATAATAGGAAATTGATCTAAATATAGATTTTTATGTTTTTAATTAGAAGATTTGGTCCAAATTTAAATTCTTATTAATTCAAACATAACATTAAAAGATTAATATTCTGCTTATAAAGCGTATAATTCGTGTATCATCTAGATTTTATTTACCCACATTCCGAGTTCATTAATTTAATTATACAGTAAAGACACAAGTGTGATGAATTTCATTATTTTTCTTAAAAAACATATTCTAGTCGGTGAGAAGAAGCGATGGATATGAGAAAGCAATATTTCATAATGTTATGAAATATTGGGCGACATGATTAATTGACATTTTTAGGCCACAGCATGGCCAGTTAATTGACCTGACGGGAACGTTTATTTACACAACAAAATACAAAACAAAGAAACATTAAGATGAAGTGAAGGCGTTGCCCATGAAACTGACTTTTCAGACGTACGTCCATTTCACACCACGCTAAAAATGACTTCCACTGGATTCACTTCTGCACTTATACTCTGTTTGATTGGAGAGAAAATATGAGAGGAAATAACATTAAAAAAAAAAGAAAAAATGCATTTTTTTTTGTTCAGATGAAGAAGAAAAAGTGAAAGAAAAGAAAAATTAAGAAAAAAAAGGTACGGACCGTTGCATTTCCCACTCAACTTTTCTTTTAAAAGGTAAAAAAATTTTGAAAATAAATTTTTATTTTTACTACCTATCCTCCCCTCTCTTTTTCTCTTTTACCCGCTTTAATTACATTAATTTTTCATAAGCAATTAGATTTTGATCTCATGAAAATTTGAGTCTTTAGCTTTCAAGAATTAATTTAAATTTAACAACTGATTGTAATATAATTTGATTTAATGATATTGATTTTAATATAATTAATTTGATTTCAAAAAATAAAAAACAGAATTTGCATCGTTCGCTTTCTATATTTTTTTAACAACTAATTTGATTGTAAATTAATTTGATGATGTTAATTTTAATATAATTTATTTTTTCAATTTATTTTTACAAAGATAATTACATTAGATATGATATATATTGATATAAGGATATTATAGTCATTATAATATTTATTCATTTTCTTTCCTTCCTATTTTCTCCTATCCATTCAAACACAATGAATGATAACATTTTTTTTTTCTAGTTTTCTCTTTTTTTCATTTTGTTTCCTTCTATTTTTTTTTCTTTTAACTTTTTTTTTTATCTAAACAGAGGGTTAAAGATAGATTGTACTGTATCATCTGCCTCTTATAATTTACCTTTTACCGTTATTACTTTTATATAACACGATAATAATCGTTTTCTTTAATTAAATAATTATTAAAGATTGTCATATGAAATTAAGAAAGTATAAAAAATTAAAATTTTAGAATGTATAATGTACATAAAGAGTGTTCTGATGATCATGTGTCTTTTATTTTCATTTCTGAAAAAAAAATATTTTGATGTATTTTATGGTTTTATCATTTGATTGTTTTTTGCATATTTTTAAAACATATTAATGGAAAATTATAATTTTTAACCTCTATAATTTTTTAATTAAAGATTTAATTCTTAAAGTTGTGATCAACTTTAACCCTATTGCTTTGGGGATAACGTGCCAATGATGTGACAATAACGTTTGGCAGTAGTAGAAGCTTTAACCAAAACCAACTGTATACTTTTTTATGAACTGATTCCTTGATTAAAAATCTGTACTCTCCTAATATTAATTATTTTTGCATTATTTTACCCTTATTAATAATAATAAGACCATGCAAAAGAGTATCAAATGGCACAAAATAAAAAAAGAGGTTACTAAAATATTATATTTTAATATTTTTAGGCTGTTTAATGAATTTCTTAGGTGCCATTTGGTTTAATCCATGGACAAAATCCTTTTCATGACGTGAAAATATTAAGATATACGTCTCGTATCTATTACTCCCCCTGTTTCATATATATATATATATAACCAACTCAATGGCTTATATTTTTGGACCAAGTGGAGTTTTAAAAAATGCCCTATATTATGATTTAGATGAAGTAATGGTTTTAAAATAAAAACGTAATAATTTTTAAAAATTTTATCACAAAAAATTCTTTACCATTCAAGAGAGGTATACAGATTTTATTTAATGAAAATTAAAAATATATGATTTTAATAGATAATCTTTTCGTTAAAAAATATAAAGTATTTTTACTTAAATTTTTGCACCCAATAAAATAGTCACTCCTTCTATTTAAAAAAGTAAGGTATTTTTAATAGAACGTTTCACTTTAAAATAAATAAGTGATTTATTTATTATGAAAAATTTTGAAAAAAAAATATTAATTATATTTCTTGAAATATTAAAAATGACCTATATTTTTAAACATCCAATTCTTAAAAAATACCTTATTTTTTTAAATGGGGGGAGTATAAAAGAGAGTCTTGATGGTATTATAATGATATGTTAATGCATTGTATTTTAATATTTAATTTAATTAACTTATGCTCTTATTATAATTTAATAGATATTAAAAGTTATTTTTATAAAAATATTGATATTTATTATAGACATAAATTATGTGCCTGTTGATTTATTTTGCTAGGTCCGTCGCTGAGTGTATACATGTGTGTATATACACACACATTCAAAAGTAAGGATTTTCATGGGTACATGTTTGAATATGGAATATTGGAATATTCTTTATTTAGAATTCATCTTCAACTCTTATCATCAAAACTAGCCTCAACCAAGGGAAAAGTTTTTAATTTCTTCTCCCCTTTTTCTTTGTTGTTCATTATGAGGCAACTGTCTCCACTCCCCATCACGTAACTTTGCTTGTTCCTTCCAACACTTGCCTTCCCCAAGAAGATTGAAATGCCTCATCTTTTCCCTCTTGGTACTCCCAAACTCTCATTAATGTCGTCCAAGTAGCCATGCCCATTGCTGCTTCAGAACAAAAAAAAAAAATATATTTACGTTGCTTATTAAAAAAAGGCATTTATTAGATAAATCTACTTTCGATCTTAGCATAAAATACTCCATCTATTCTTTATTAATATAGGCACCTTATAAAAAAGATGAGTGTTCCCAGTTAATTATTACAAGTAACATGATGGGATATTAATTACTTTTTTAATTTTCATACTACCTCTATTTACAACTATTAACTATAAGAGAATATAATGCAAATTCAGTTTTTTTATTTAACTATGGGTTAAAAAATTATACTATTTCCAAATAAAATTAATGATTTAACCACTTATGGTGATGAGGTGATTAGAGGTGGAGTGAGCAACGTTGTCCTAAACATAATTAATGGCTAACCAGCAGGAATTCAGATTCTCTATTACTACTTTTTCCTAATTTCTAATTTCTAATTTCAAATATTGTTGGCATGCACTTACAGAAAATATCGAAAGGCAAAATCTTACAAAATACTATTAAAGAAAATCCGACAGCAGCAGAAATAGCATACGATTGGATTTTCAAGGAAGACGATGGTTGTGGGTTAGTGGGGTTCGTCACTCGTAGATTGTTAATGTCTATCTACCAAAACATCCCAACAGAAAAAAAAACAAAAGAAAAAAAAAAGAGAGCATTTAAACGCCCATCTCGTTCATTCATGATTCAAACTACTTGTATTAATGCCTTTGTGTTTCTTTTCCACAACCCTCAACTACTTGCCCTTTCACTTGGGTTTATGTTCCCTTCTCCACTCCTCTTGTGATAAACCAAAAACAAAATTGCTTTCTACTTCTTCCTTTTCACCTAAGTTAACCAACTTCACATTTATATTATCCTTAAAATTATTTAAAAAGTATTTGACTTTTCAGTTTTATCTTTTGCTGTTATTTGAATTGAAATGACAATAAATAAATAAAAGATAAAATTAAAAAAAATTAATTATTCTAACTTTTTTATGTTAGTATCGGGGACAAAAATAAACTTTTAAACTTTGTCTTGTATCAAGTTTTAAACTTTGTCTTATATCAAGTACGGGATGGGGTTAACATTTCCTCTACCCTTTTGTATTAATCATCTTCTACAATAAATTGAGGATTTTATATATTAGTAACTTTACATAAAAAATAGGACATTAATGATCAGATATTTCCAAAATCACTCCCATCCAGAACTCCCCGTAAAATCACTCTTACTTTTAGATCTTTTTAACTACTTAACGACCTCTACTTGTATATGGTGAGATAAGTAGAAATCCCCACATTTAAGGCATGAGTGACTATTATCCAAAATCTAAACGTGAGTAAACTTAACCTAATGTTAGAAGTAATAGTCATCAACTCAAGCTTTGAGTTTTTGAATTAATATATAGTGTCCTCCACTTCTGACTTCCGTGTTCTGCTGCTCATTTGTTTTCGCCAACCCATTCTTGAATACGTTAGCTGTTACTATTATTTATAAAAATGTTAAATATGTAGTACTATAGAGTGGGAAGAGATCTTAAAAATTAGAAATATAACAAATGAAGGTGATGTTTAATACAAAAACATTGGGCGTGAACATTGAAAATTGTGATGTTCTGTGGAATTGGAAGCGAAAGTAGTGTGGTTCCTTGAGAACTAAGGAAGCAAGTGAGATGGACAGAGTTAATTGGGGGTCGGTTCTGCACATTTATTGCAATTTACCAACAACTACCCAATCCCATTAATGTCTTCTCCTTCCTCTTCTCCTTCCTCCTCGTCCACAGCCACCATTCCCAGCTACTCATGCTTGCCATAAGAATATCCTCACCATTCCCCTCCAATTATACCTCCTCCTTCCTTCTGCATGAGCCTTCTTTCCTCATATATCAGTCAAAATCCTCTCGTCACACATAATTCATTTCTCTCATTCACGCTTTTCTCGCTCTCCTTTACCCTTTAAATGCCTTCCCTTCAATCCTTGGCTTTTTCATAATTCTCACCCTTCACTGTCTTTTTACAAAAGAAAACACTGGTGTTGCTGCTGGTAAAGATCGGAACTTCTGCGAGTTAGTATTATGGAGATAGAGGCCAGCAGGGCGGTCGGTAATAATGGGACGTCCGCGATCCCGGCGCTGAGTCCTCTCAGCGAGACGCTGTGGAGGGAGGCCAAGGCTAACGTCGACTTCGTCGGAGATGTGTCGGCCAGGTTGACATGGAAGGATCTCACCGTCATGGTCACCCTTGGCAACGGAGAGACCCAGAATGTCCTCGAAGGCCTCACCGGCTACGCTGAGCCCGGCACCTTCACCGCCCTCATGGGCCCCTCCGGCTCCGGCAAGTCCACTCTCCTCGACGCCCTCTCCAGTCGTCTAGCCGCCAACGCCTTCCTCTCCGGACAAATCCTCCTCAACGGTCGCAAAGCCAAGCTCTCTTTCGGCACTGCAGTGAGTTTCACTCTTTTACACACACACACACACACACACATCTGTGTGCGTTCTTCTTGTTACTGTGTGACTGTTCATCTTCTCGTTTCCTTGTTGACGCTTGATTTGTTGCTTTATTTCTTGAAAAAACGTTGAATCTAAAATGAAGAGACAAAATAAGAAAAACAGGTAAAGAGAAAACGAAAAACTTGAATGAGATTCCAACAAGTGAGGAACGGTTTGATTCACTGATTGTTTGAGATTCAGTATTCAGAAAAGTTTCAAATAATGACAAACATAACATTTAACCAAAAAAAAAAATCATAATAAATTTGGCATAAAAACAATGAAGAAATCTGGTAAGGGCATTGTTTTTTGCCTCCTCCCGTTCGGGGGTATTTTCCCTTTCAAGTAAAAGGTGTTTGAAACGCAGGCATATGTGACGCAAGACGACAACCTCATAGGAACCTTGACAGTACGAGAAACGATATCGTATTCGGCTCGTCTGAGGCTGCCGGATAAGATGCCTTGGTCGGACAAGCGAGCTCTGGTGGAGAGCACAATAGTAGCCATGGGGCTTCAGGATTGTGCCGACACGGTGATCGGGAACTGGCATCTCCGGGGGATCAGTGGCGGAGAGAAGAGAAGAGTTAGCATTGCTCTGGAGATCTTGATGAGGCCCAGGCTGCTCTTTCTTGATGAGCCTACCAGTGGACTCGACAGGTTTCGTTTCATGCTTTTGTCTCCGTCTTCTTCATCTAGATTTTTATGATTGGAATATTTGGAACAAGTTAATTTGTCTTTTGTTTCTGAACAGCAAGATTTGTTGTTTTCTTTGTGTTTGGAACTTTCTTGCTCTGTTTTTAATCTCCCTCTCCGTAACTGTAACTTGTTTTCTGTGTTTTCCATTTCCTGCCTGGGGTTAGATTGAATAATAAAAAATTCATGCTAATTAACTCCATTAGATTCTTGATGGAATTTCGTTCTTTCGTTTTAATGTTCTTGGAATGTGATTGAAAGTGACATTTTTTATTTATATTTTTTTAAAAGTAAAATTTACTATATATGTTAGTCCTTAATTAATTATCAGTGTACTTGATAGGATTTTACTTTGAATAATGGACTTGGTGATTGTTGACTGTAAAGATCTCTTAATCCTCTGATTAGTTCTTTGACTTAGCTTTAAGAAAACTATTTTCATATTAGGATTCTAATCACAACGGTTACCTCAGTTCAATAAAAAAAGGGTTACCGACTGGATAAACTGGCATTCGTGATACCTTTTTCTTTTTTTAAAAAATATTTGTCATTTTCATGCTTAGCTTTAACCTCGGTGTTGCTTGATGGCCTCTCAAGAAAAAAGATGCTAAAAATATTATATAAGAATTCTTAGGCGGGAATTCTTGGTTTTTATTGTCTCCTAGTGATTGTTCACTTTCTAATTTTTTTATTTTATTTGTGTTTGTATCAGTGCCTCAGCTTTCTTTGTGACCCAAACACTACGAGCCCTTGCAAGGGATGGCCGAACTGTGATAGCTTCTATTCACCAACCCAGCAGTGAAGTCTTTGAACTTTTTGACCAACTGTACCTTCTTTCTGGCGGCAAAACTGTTTACTTTGGCCAAGCTTCTGAAGCTTACGAGGTATTATCATAATTAACTTTTTACCATTTCCTCTTATTCCTCTACGTTAATTTCCATAACGTAGTTCTTTTTTCATGTGAACAATATTTAATTTACCATATTATTTCATGCAAATGTGCAGTTCTTTGCACAAGCTAGCTTCCCATGCCCTGCTTTAAGGAACCCTTCAGATCATTTCCTTAGATGCATCAACTCTGACTTTGACAAAGTCAAGGCCACACTCAAAGGCTCCATGAAACTCAGGGTACTGTCTAATTTCAATATCTTCGTTAATTCTGCCACAGATTTTCTTTCATTTATTATATGCCTTGGATAACATTTGCATAATTGAATCTGGGTTTTTCAGTTTGAAGGAAGTGATGACCCTCTGGACAAGATAACTACAGCTGAAGCTATCAGGACTCTCATAGATTATTATCGCACTTCTCAGTACTCTTATGCTGCTATACAGAAGGTGGATGAGATATCTAAAGTGGTGAGTTCAATGAAAGCCATTAATTGTTCCTGACCCATCATTTATGGTGTTTGTTGTATGAATTAGTTTCTGAAGTAAGCTCTGTTCATTCTCACGGATGATTCTGCAGAAAGGAACAGTGCTGGATTCTGGAGGAAGTCAGGCCAGTTTCTTCATGCAGGCTTTTACATTAACCAAGAGATCATTCATCAACATGTCAAGGGATTTTGGATACTACTGGCTTCGGCTCGTCATCTACATTGTTGTCACTGTCTGCATTGGAACCATCTATTTGAACGTTGGAACTGGCTACAATTCCATCCTGGTACTTCTTTTCTTGCTTCTTAGACTTCACTTTCAGTCCCAGCTGTCACTTTTGTAAATATGCAATATACCCTTTATGTTACACAAAAGAGGAAGAGGTTTGCAAAGCTTAACAGCTCACTGAAATTTTGGGTAATTTACACAGACCTTCTTGTGTTTTGTTGAAAATTACAAGGAATCATTATCACGGGGGCAATTTTTAAGATCCTACATAGGAAGAAACGTGTCTGAGTTTACTTTCTGGTTGTTTCATTTAGGCAAGAGGTTCATGTGCCTCCTTTGTGTTCGGCTTTGTCACTTTCATGTCAATTGGTGGGTTCCCTTCATTTGTTGAAGACATGAAGGTACGTCTCTGTCACTGCACAATCTTGATCTTGAAGAAGTAATGTTTGATGTTTGAATCACACGTGAAAGTATAACTAGATTATCATATTGCATATATAATATATGAGAATGTTGGTGTGATGGATTGCAGGTTTTCCAAAGGGAGAGGCTGAATGGGCATTATGGGGTGGTATCATTTGTGATAAGCAACACATTATCTGCAATGCCATTTCTGATACTGATAACATTTCTGTCTGGAACCATTTGTTACTTCATGGTTCGTCTCCACCCTGGCTTCTGGCACTATCTCTTCTTTGTCCTGTGCCTTTATGCCAGTGTCACTGTGGTTGAGAGCTTGATGATGGCCATTGCCAGTATTGTCCCCAACTTCCTCATGGGTATCATCATTGGTGCTGGTATTCAGGTATAAATGTTACAGTTTTTATAGAAGATTACATATAGATTCTCGTAGATTCCAAAAATAATTGTTTTTTTGCTACTGAACCTATGGTTGAGAGCCTCTGAATTGGAAAAACAAACAGTCTAATGAACGGGAGAAAAGTTGCATTGTCAGGAGCATTGTGTCTTATCTTTTGGCACTTTAGGTTAAGTTTTAATTCCACGTTGAACATGCTTTAAAGAGGTTTTAGCTCAGTAAATTGTCATGTGACGTTAAAGATCGTAACATATCAGTAATCTCCTGGTACCTTGATAATATTTCAGGGCATATTCATGTTGGTTTCTGGCTACTTCAGGCTCCCACATGACATCCCAAAGCCATTCTGGCGCTACCCAATGTCTTATATCAGTTTCCACTTCTGGGCATTACAGGTAATTAAAGAAGAAAATCATGAGCACAATACATAGATTAACTTAACTGGGTTATTTGCTGATGAGAAAGCGACGAAATTGTTGCAGGGTCAATACCAGAATGATCTCAAAGGCCTGATCTTTGACAACCAGACACCGGATCTGCCCAAGATTCCGGGAGAGTACATTCTGGAGAATGTGTTCCAGATCGATGTGAGCAGATCGAAGTGGATTGATTTGGCAGTGATATTCAGCATGATCGCCATCTATCGCATAATCTTCTTCATCATGATCAAGATCAACGAGGATGTGACTCCATGGGTGAGGGGTTACATGGCCAGGAGAAGAATGCAGCAGAAGAGTGGGACACAGAACACCACCATTGCTCCTGATGTTCTCACTCAATCTCCTTCTCTCCGAACCTATATCACAAGCCAATCCAGTGGTGGTGCTAGGAAAAGGTAAGGACGTAACCGAGAACAATGAAGATCAGAAGAAGAAGAGGGAGCTTCCTCGTTCTTCGCCACGACAAGTGTGTGAATGAATGAAACGATACGAGGGTTTTAATTAAAGTAGGGTTAAGCTTATTCGATTATTTAACATTCTGAATATATTCTTATATATTTATACTACTTGATGAGATGACTATGTACGTAGTTGTTAATTTGCATCATCCTCTGGTTAGAGGGTGATGAGCTGAAATCATATATTGAAATTAATGCATGAAATAGTTCAAAGTCCCAAATTGTATTTCGTCTCTTATAGCTGATTAAGCTTACTTCCCGCACACGCATTAGGAACTTAGCCAACAAGATGAACACAAATTTAATTGGCTATAAATGTGATGGGCGCCAATAAGTTTGCTCATTGTTACTTGTCAAAGTTCTATGAAGGAAAAATGTTGGCTTCGACACCACATTCTGAAATCTTACAGCATGAAGCTTCACAGGCCGCACACCAGCCTTTATCAATGAAATTTGGCAGTATTTTGGAGAAATCTTCGGACAGTAATAATTAATCCCATCCTATCTTTTAGGAATGTGTGGCAGGCACAAAAATCATTTAATCGTTTAGATCATATTCAACTAACAGTTTATAATATTTATTTATTTTATTCATAAGTCAATTTTAATATATTTTTTTAAAATTAATAAAAATTTTTTAGACTTATTAACTTTATCTAAAAATTTAATAAATTTTTAACTTTACCCATATTAAAAATATATATAATTTAATAACATTTTTTTAATATTTATGGAGGGTAAAAGTAAAAAATTAACATACAAAATCATTCTTTCTTTACTTTATAAATAAAACTAGGAGTATTTGTTTTTTTTTTTAAATATTAAAATGAAATTTTCAAAAGCTACCCGGTTCAAACTTGTATGATCAGAATGAAGGGTCAACTGTAGATGTGGTGCTGATGAATCTACATATATGATTCTCTATGTCCATATAATAGAACATAGAGGTAATTTATAGCCTTGTTCAATCTACAGTCAATTAAGCGTGTTCATACTATTATTTTACTATTGATTTTTTTATTTGTCATTTCTTTCATTTTCTGTAACAAACAACATGCCAAATGCTATTATATAATATTTTACAAACCTGAATGGCCGGCATAATAATATAAGTAAGTGATTTACTTGACTATTTTTTTTTTTTTGGGGATAATAGACGACTAGTATTTCACTAACATGAAGAGTCATTCTTTTGAATTTTGAAGAGACAGACTCAAGTGATGGTACGTAGAATTATTTGTCCAAATTTGATACTTCAGTACATTAATTTTTGTTTATATTAAGATTAAAATAATTTCCTCATAAAGATGCACACAACTATTTTACATTTAATGTTTAGATTTAAGAGTTAGCAGGACAATACTTTTTTTTTTTTGACTCCCGGTGTAGCCAGGCCCAATTTTAGATTGGAGAAGGCTAGGCATTGGGCCGAATAGGGTCCTGAAGCATGAAGCAATAATTTAAAACTTGAACCTTATATCATTTCAAGTTGATATTTGAATGGTTGGTAAAAAAAAAAAAATATTTGAATGGAAAAAATTTATATATTTAGCCTCATATACTTAAGATACTTATTTTTAATTAGATTAAAAGATTCATATCTTTTATAATTTATTCAATTTATAAATTTTTTTGTTATTATTATTATTATTGTTAATATATTAAAATCACAAATATTAATTTGATTGAATAAAATATATTATGTGTAGAAGTCTTACCTATTTGAATATATCATCTACACAGTAGAACTGAAAAACTGAAGGATGAAGCAACCCAAAAAAAAAACAAAGCATAGGTTAGAGGTTGTAACTTCACCGAGTATTAACTTAAAATTTGATAAATTGACTGCGATGATTTTTTTTTAATTTATTTTGAATATATATATAGACACACACACACACATATCCAAGTCAAAATAGTACCCATGATGTTTGTACAAGTTGTAGTTGCAATCGATCTTATGTACGACTTTTCAATATGAGATTCATAATATATTTTTGTTGATCCTCATGACATGTAGACGATGTCTATTTTTCCAATATGCAAAGCGTTTCTTTTTCAAATACATCATCACTAAACCAAAGGGAAATTACAACCTAGGATTTTTCTGGATTCAACAAATAAATACTCCTTACCTTATTTATATAAGATAGAGAAGGAATTTTTTTTTAATCCTATTTATAAGTTATGTCACTAATTTTTTATCACAATTTTTTTTATCATATTAAATATTGATAAGAGAAATTATGTTATCAAAATATGAAAAAATATAACTTTAACTCTTTGCACTTTGCTAGAGTTTTATTATAAGGTTTTGCATTTTTTTTTGTGTTTTAAATTTTTGAACTTTTATTTTTTTGATATTTTAAATTTTTTTGTAAGTAGTGTTACAAGAATAAAATAGTAAAAAAAAATTTTCTACGAAATTCGAATGAGGTGGATTGGTGATGAAGTGGAGTTTGTGCCAATCGTATGTTCTCATCAGGTCATGAGTTCGAATGTTAACAATGCAAAAGGGGGATTTTATATCTTGGCTTTAACCGAGTAAAATTACCATTTTACCCCTTCTGAAGAAACGAAACAGAACAATAGCACCATGGAGAGGAGTCAGAATGGATTTTTTTTTTTTTTTTTGACCAACGTCAGAATGGATTTCAAGCGACTGATATTTTTTCTCCTCCATCGTCGAATGCTCCGGAGTCCAGAATCCAGGTAGAGAGAAGCTTCGATCAACCTTTATCTCCCGCTCCCCCTTTTCGTTCTGATTTGGTTGCCGGCGTTCACCGTGAGTTCGCCGCGAGTTTGCTGCCACAAGGAGTTCGTTCAAGGTCGACCTGCTCATCCCTGTTTCCGCTTCCATCGACCTCTACATCCTTCTTCATTGTCGAAGCTGTAAAACTTTCTCCCTCCTCCCTCATTTCGTCCGTTTGTTGGTGGTGAGGCACGGAGGAGCTCAATTACTGAAGGAAGTCCGAGTTGCTGATCGTTCCTCCTCCCCTGCACCACCGTTGTTCTTCTTCCACCTCTGTCATCGGGTCTTTCATTCATCATCATCATCTTCTCTTGCTTCAAGTGCGTCCAACCCTCTCCCTTCTTCTCGTTTGTTCTGCTTGTGTATTCAATTAGTTGAGATTGTGATTTGTTTTCTTCCTTTCTCTGCTGCTGCCGTGAATAATGTGGAGGATGGGGATTTAATTTTCTTGAGTTAAGATTATGGAAGGAATGGAATTGGGAAGCTGATTAATTTATATAATTATGTTAGATAATTTTTGGGAATGAAATTGGATAGGGAGACGTTTGGTAATAGTTTGAGATTTAATGCCCACAAGGTATTTGTTAAAATGTTTAAGAGGGAGTCTTGTTATATAATGACCTGATGTATAAGATAACTATATTGTTAATTAAATCAACCATTATTAGAAGAAAATTAAGTTGAAAGTTTGATTAGTTCAAATATTAATATAGGACAACCTTTGGAAAGGGAATTGAAGAGGAAAAGAACTTGTTCTTATGGTTTAAGCATTATGCAAAATAAAATATGTTTTATATAATGTTTGAAAAAGGGAGATTTTGGATTTGGGGTGGCATAATATTTGTGATAGTCATGTCATCATTGATTAAATGATCATGGAAGGTATTTGTTCTTTGCAATGAAAGTTGAAGTGGAATTTAGAGATTTTTGGGAGAAATATTTGAGTGGGTAATTCAAGAACCAAATCACTCTTTATATATTTATTCTTGGGATATCTTTGGGATGTTTGATAATATGACTATTAGAAAGAGTTTTGTTTGGTTATTAATTTTTTGAAATTTTATAACTCTTATGAAGACATACTTGGCTTGGGTGATAATTATTCATGGATTAATTTGAGTTTTGTGAGGAATTCTAATCATGAAGCTATTGTGAGCTTAACTTGAGTATTGCAAACAAATTTGATGGTTATGGAGGTAATGTGTAGCTTGTTGAATTTTGTAGAGTTATACAGTTGTTGAGAAATTTTTGGGTAAGAAATTTAAATGTTGAAAACCTCTATTATGGGGTTTGAAAATTTGATATGTTTTGACAAAAAAATTAAGAGGAGATGGTATTTTACTGAAGTTCTATGTGCAAAGTCGCTTGGTCGTAAAGTTTCAAATATATTATTTTATAACTTTTATGAGAGGGTTGGAAGGAAATTGAACTGATTAAAATTTTATTAAAACATTATTATGTTTTATAGGGTGTTTGAAAGAGAAAAAATTCAATTAAAGTGGTAAGAGGTGAACTTATAATTTTGAGAACGTTTAAAGTAAGTGAATAACATCCTAATGGTTTATGAGCAAATTTCATTTTCTTAAAAATATTGATATAGCTTATTCATGTGCTACCTTTCCATTTATATGGACCTTTTTGTTTTTTAAGAACAAATGATAGAATATTTTAGTTTATTTTTACTTAGTGATTTATTATTTTAATGCTATTATCGACCATCATATATGTAAAAATATTTCTATTATATAAAATTTTACAGAAAGAGTTGATCAATTGAATATTTGAAAGCACTTGATTTATGGATAATATTTGATGCTTGATTTTATGTTTAAAGAATGATTACTTATTATGATTCGTTCATGTGATATATACTGATGAATTTAATTATGTTGAGTATAATGATAAATGTTGAAAAAAAGATAATATGTTGATTTTATAGACTCATGCATGATGGATTTAAAATGTGGAATTTAAATCAAAATGCTATTGCTAACGACAATTTCGTTAGCTATTGCCATGCCATGGTTAAATTCTAGCTAGTTTGGTATTTGTGAGCATTGTACTCATACTTATTTTGTGGACCTTATGCTTGCACTTGTTATTCATGGGTTTCATGTCCACGCTTATTTTGTGACTCTCGTCGCACTTGTTTTGTAGCTTTCAGCTACACATGACTAGTTATTTATTATCATAGATTGTGTATCCATGCTTGTTAGTTATTTACTCTTATGAATTATGTATCTACGCTTATTAATTGTTCTGATTAAGTCATATTAAAGAGTGGGTTTTTAATCTTAATTTATTTAAATTTAATCTAGTAAAGAAAACTATTATTTCATCATACAGAGATTTTATATTGAATTACATAATTTCCAAAATGTTTAAGCACATGTTGAAGTTAAAAGTTGAACTTGAATTTCTAACAATTTTTATTTGAATTCATGTGTTCATGGTTTACATATTTACATA